ATAGCATAGCATGGCATAACATAGCATAGCGCAGCACAGCACATCATAGCACAGCGCAGCATAGCATAGCAGGGTGTAATTCCCTACCTAGGCTCTGCCTATCGGGCTAGCTTAGCTTAGCGTAGCGCAGCGCTGCATTAGCACAGCATGGCGTAGCATAATATAGCCAACCATAGCATAGCACCGCATATCATAGCACAACATAGCATAGCAAAGTATAACATAGCATAGCATACCATATCATAACATAGCTTAGCACAGCATGGCATATCATAGCCTAGCATACCATATCATATCATCGCGTAGCATAGCACAGCATATCATATCATAATATAGCATAGCATAGCGCAGCATAATATGGAATGCCATATCATGTCATAGCATAACAACTGCTTTCCTATGGGCTCCAACTTCTAGGAAGGGTCGCACTGTGGTAATTTCTGTTCCTCTTGGCACTGGCTCGCCGAAGTGCGGCCTCGCCTTCAGCCTGCTTTGTGCACAACGTTAGCGAATCGATCGGGTCCTCCTTCTTCTCCTCCTGCTCCTGCTCCTGCTCCTACTCCTCCTCCTCCTCCTCCCCCTCCTTCTCCTCCTTTAGTTCCCCTCCTCGTCATCCTTCTCTTCCTGCTCCTCCTATGGAGGATGTGGGGTCCAAGGACGTGGAGTCTGAGGACGTGCGCCTGCTGCTTTTGTCGAGATCGCCACGCGCCCGATCTGTGCTGAGCCGCCTTGCCTGGAAAAGAGCGCAAAAATGCACTCGCCAGGCCTTCAGGCGCTGCCGACAAAGAGGGGCGGGGTCTCGCTCAGGACTTATGGCCGACCCACCCCCCGCGGCGAGACACGCAGCACGCACATACATACACACACGTGGACGCACGTACATACATACAAACATACATACCTAAATGATTGCGCGCACATAAACATACATGCATATATACACATACATACACGGTAGGCAAGGATGGATATCAACTTGATGGGGCTTGAAGAAAGGCGTTTCTGTTGGTGTTGCTGCTGCTGCTGCTGCGTTTCCCTCTTCCTTCTGTTGTTGTTGTTGCTGCTGCTGCTGCTGCTTCTCCTCCCCCTCCTGCCCCTCTCCGAGGAGGAGTGGGAGGAGTGGGATGTGGGGGGGGGAGGAGTGGGAGGTGGGCCCCGGGGGGGGGGAGCGGGAGGTGGGGGGGGAGGAGGAGAAGGAGGAGGATGAGGAGAAGGAGGAGGAGAAGGCAAAGGAGGATAACGCGCCCACATCTGGGGCGCGTTAGTCCCCCAAGCCCTTGCAACCAACTGCTGGCTCCCACTTGCACTTGCGGCTCCCCCTGAGGGCCGCCAAGAGGCCTTCTCGGGCGCGGTCGGGCTCGGCTCCGAGTGGCGCTCCCGCAGGTCACCCGCCGCGAGGTCCGCGCAGGCGTCCTGCTCGGCCACGGCCTCTGCAGCAACCACACTGCTGTTCGTGCCCTCGGACGCCTGCGGCAGCACCTCGCCACCAGCAGCCTCGGACAGCCCGATGGGCTCCGAGGTGCCTGCAGCGCCGCCGCTCAGGGCGGCCCCCTGGGCGAACCCGCCGCGGGCCCGCGCGCCGCTGCCGTGCACCAGCGCCGTGCCCCCAGCAGCGGCATACAGCGCGTCGAGCTCCGCGATGCCAGCAGCGTTCACCTCCGCGTCGTGCGGCTTCACGAACTCGCCGCGACCCTGGGACTGCGACTTCGGTGGGCTGAATCCACCTGTCCCAGGGCCGGGCTCCGCCGCGGCGGCGTACCTGGAGTCGGCCTCGCCGCCGAGCTCCGCCGCCAGATCAGCCATCAGCTGGTTCAGGTCGTCCTGGACGCCGAAGGCCTCGTTCGCCGACACGAAGACCTCCTCCACGAAGGCGTCGTGGAGCTCGGCTAGGTCGCGGGCGCGGGCGGCCGCAGCGCCCTGGGGGCCACCGAGCTGCGGCCCGCCGCTCCCGCCGTCGGCGGCCTCCAGCTCCGCGTCGATGCCGTCGGTCTGCGCGTGCTGGCAACCCTCGCCGAGAAGCGCCTCCTGCATGGGGGCGGCGTAGGCGATGAGGTCCGCCAGCAGCTGGTTGGCGTCGTGCGGCGTGTGGGGCACGCCGCCGCCGGGCGCGCCAGCGCCGATGGGGCCGAGGGGGACGAAGGGAGGCGCATCCGCCCTCAGCGCGCCATCGGCCGCCGCGCGCCGCTCCAGCCGGGGTCCCCGCTGCGCAGAACGTAGCTCCGCCGCGCTGGCCGCCACGATGTCCATGCCCTGCGCCTCGGCATGGAGGGCGACGTTGCGGCGCAGGCGCTCGAGCCAGGATGGGGTCCACCCTCCCAGCGTGGCCTGCAGCGCGGGGAGCATCGCCTGCAGCCTATGGGCCACCTCGTCATCCCCGACGACAGCGCCCAAGGCCTGCTCCGCGGCCTCCAGACGGGCCCGAGTCCTCCCCAACTCGCCCGTCAGCCGCCGCACGGCGTTGTCGGCGGACCACTTAGCCCACTGCCGTCCCGCAGCACGCTGGGCCGCCGAACGCTTTGGCGCGCACTCCGCGCCATCCCGCGCCATCCTGGGTCCCGCGCGCCCGAAAGCGGGCGGACCTGGCCTAGAGCCAAAATGGCTACGGAACACGGTGAGGGTATTGCAGGACGAACCATTGGATGAGGAACCCAAAGGTCTGGCACGTGGAGAACTCCGATCTCGGGTCGGGGCACGCTTGAGGAGGCCCGGCGCGGAACGCTTCGCCGACAGGAGGCCCTCTGGGGCTCCGTGAGGCCCGGACCCGGCGGTGGGGCCGATGGGCGGGCGCGCACGGGCGAGACGTGGCTGCGAGAGCGCAGCACAAGCGCACGGGTTCAGTCGGGCGCGCCCCTCTACAGGAGGAACGCTCAAAAATCATATATATATATATATATATATATATATCAAATACTCGGGGGATCATGTTACGAGCATGTGTTTTCCCATGTCTCAATGTGCTTGGAATATATTTGTATTTTTATTTGTCGTCCAAGGTCCGCCTGCAGACGGGCTCGCCCGACGTAGAGCAGGGGCCCCGAACGCCGAACGCCCCGTGCCCACGAGCTACGGTCGCCGCGCTGCCGCCAGGACCGCCGAGCGAGGAACCAAGGGGCTCCCCCGGCCAAGGCGGGCCTCTCCGCCTCGAATGGGCTGAGGTCGGGCTTGAAAGGGAAGCAACACACATAGCAACACACACTCCAGCGTGAACGTACTCACACACAGTCGAGAAAATCGTGCCCAGACTATCTCTTGACCTCTGGACTGTTCTTGACGACTCCCCCTGTGGAGGGACGCGCCCGACTGGGGGCCAGAGCCATCGTGCTGCCACCAGGACCGCCGAGTCGGGAACGAGCGGGGCCCTCCCGGCCACGGCGAGCCTCAGGCACCACAATTCGCCTCCCGATCGGGATCCGAGGAGCGGTCCGGGAACCGGAGCCCCTCCTGAGCCCTACGGGAGGCTCGCGTCGCGTCGACCCCCGGCGTTGCTGACACCGCTGTGCTCGTTCAGACTGGAACGATCGGCACCTTTCCAGAGGGGCCCGATCGTTCAGGGATGGGCCGATTCTGGGCCACAGGCGGCGTTCAACCTCACACGCCCGCGCTGGGATCGCCGCCAGTCGACACGACGCGAGCCTGCCGTGCTGCAGTTGGTCCCCAGCTCGGCGCCTGGGCAGTGGGCCCCAGAAGGACAGGCATCCCGAGGGGTGGAGGGCCCGAGCGCGACGAGCAAAAGCAGGGAGCCGAACGCTGTACACCTCTCCTCTCCTCCTCCTCCTCCTCCTCCTCCTCCTCCTCCTCCTCCTCCTCCTCCTCCTCCTCCTCCTCCTCCTCCTCCTCCTCCTCTTTCCTCCTCTTTCCTCCTCCCCCTCCTCCATCTCCTCTCCGCACCCTCCTCCTCATCCTGCCCTCCTCCTCCTCCTCCTCCTCCTCCTCCTCCCCCTCCTCCTCCTCCTCCTCCCCCTCCTCCCTCCCCTCCTCCCCCTCCTCCTCCTCATCCTTCCCTCCTACGCGTCTTCCGGCCCTGCCCTGGAACTTGCAAACAAGGAAGCGGCTCCTGGTGTGTACGGGATCCTGGTGTAGACTCGGGGCTTCGTAAACAGGGGTTTCGCTAAACGGGGGCGTGAACTATTCCATATACCCACATTTACTGTGCCCCCGGCTACGGCGCCGAGGGGCCCCCTAAACGGGGGCTGATCCAAACTTGGAAGTCGGCGTTCCCCGTACCCCCGTTTGCTGTGCCCCCGTCTCGGGCGCCCTGAAATACATGCTTCGTTGCCTGCCCAGGAAAGCGGGGGAACAAGGATACACCACACCGCCCCAGACGTTGTCCCCGACCCTCAAAAAGTCTTAGGAACGAAAAGCAACCCGTGACTGGTAATGTACATGCTCCAGTTCCCGAAGAAGGACTCCTGTCTCGAACCTGGGTCGTTCTTAACCCTCGCTGGCGGCGCGCACCAGGGGGCGGGGAGAGGGGCAACGCTTCTTAGAGAAGCACCCGGCCCGACGCCTACGTATGAGGCCAGCGCGCTCTAAGAAGAAGGGGGCGTTTCTGAGAAGCCTTCCCCTACCCTTCGGTCGGGCGTGTCCTCCTACAGGCGGAGCTTGGACGAAACATAAACATAGCCAAGATGCTCAACCATAGCAGGACAAACATGCAGGGAAAATCGTCCCCTGACGATCTTCCCAACCATTTTGGAAGACCCCTCCTGCACAGGGGCACGTCCGAGTGAACCCTACTTCCCCTGCCCCCTTCCGCGCGTGGCCGACCTCGTGTCGGCTGACCCCACTGCATCGGCGGCCCCCGCCCCGGCCGCCGTTGCCCTTCCTCTGGAGGTCGGAAAGGGGTGTGGCAGAAAGGGGTATGGTGCCAGTCGTGGAAATGGCGAAGCTATCTGCGATAAATCACATTGCCAGATTCCCCCTCGATATAAGATTAGCACCACACCCCTTCACACCATACCCCTTTCCTACCTCCAGACTTCCCCCTATCGCCCCATGGCCTCGCGGGGCTGGCTCTGGGCCGCGGCGCCGGCTCCGCGCCCAGCACGTCGCCGAGGAAACCCGTGGGCATGCCTGGGGCCGAGCGGTGTCCGACAGGACAAAAAAAAGAGGGCATGAACGTGTGCGTGTGGCGCTCCGCGCGGATCTCTTGGGCCTTTCGAGCCTTCTGAGAAGGCCCGCCCCTTTGTCAATTCCTCCCTACCTCGCCGCCGATCCTCGGATCTAGGGCGCTAGTAAGCTACAGAACGTAACCGCGCACTCGGGGGAGCGTCCAGATTCCTGCGGCCTGCGCCAGGGCCCCCCTCTCCCACACCCCTGGCGCTCCCAGGGCGACAGGGGCGCGGGGTCAGGCGCCGACCCGCGGAGACCTCCAAGATTGGGCGCCCGAGTTATCCGGGGTAATTCGGGTCCGGGGTAACTCGGGTTTGGGGTCCCGAAAAACAAACCCGAGTTATCCCTGACCCGAGTTACCCCTGATGATTCGGGGCTCTGGACGCCCGAGTTATCCGGGGTAACTCGGGTCCGGGGTAACTCGGGTTTGGATTCCCGAAAAACGAACCCGAGTTATCCCTGACCCGAGTTACCCCTGATAATTCGGGGCTCTGACAAGAGCGTATGCTTGCGTGCATGCTCTGCGCCGCTGTCTCCTGCCAGAGGCCGCGCAACGGGGGACCGAGCAAACGGTGTCGGGGGTCAGCCAACGCCGCACCGCCGATGCATCGGCGATGAATCGGCGACGTCAGGGCAGAGAACCTCGGGCTCCGAATCGAGCAGGCCCGCCGATGCATCGGCGATGCGGCGCGAACCTCCGACCACGCGCTGCTCGGAGGGCGCCCTCTTGCGGCAGGGGCCCCGGCACCCCGGGAGCGCAGCTGGCGTCTGCCCTCTGATCTCGGCCGGGGCCGCGGAAAAGGGCAGGGCGAGACTGCTCGGACCCTGCCTGGGCGGCCCGAACCGTCGCTCCCCCCGGAGGTTTGGACCCCCGATGTGTTTTCCAGCGCGACGCAAACCCCGTTCAGATGATGAATCCTCTGGCCAGCCTGCGTCAGATCACAAAGGGCAGTGCTCCCGAACGACGCTGCGCCAGGAAAGCTGGAACGTCAGCTGAAGCGAACCGCAAAACTCAACCGAAAGTTTGGACGCCCGAAATGGGTACGGAAAAAATGGGCACAATGCCCACCAACACATGTTGTCCCAAACCAACAGCGGCCGCTGTTGGGCCGCCTGGCCTTCTGTCTCAAACGGGCACAGGCCGCGGCGGCGCGGACAACACGAGCCCGGTGCAAAAACCGAACAGGAACTGCCGTTGGGCACTGCACCCGTCCTTCCCGTACCCGTGTCGCTCGTGCAGAGAGCTCTGGCGGCTGGCACTCCGCGGGACGAGCTGCGCAGACGCCCGAAGCTGCGAAGTTCCAGGGCGAGGGCCCGGAGGAAGTCCCCCGAGACGCCTCCCGCGGGGTAGCTGTCCGGCCTGGGCCCGCTTGGGGACGGCCACGGGGGGCCCGGCGGCGGGCCCCGTGGGGCCGAGACCGGCGAGCACCGCCCAGGCTGCAGAGAGAGCTGGGGCTCCCAGCTTCGCGCTTCGCGCTCCGCGAGGCGCGAACAACTTCGCGCTCTCGCGCCGCCCCCCCAAAGGGGAGAAGAGGAGGAGGAGGAGGAGGAGGAGGAGGAAAAGGAGGAGGAGGAGGAGGAGGAGGAGGAGGAGGAGGAGGAGGAGGAGGGGGAGGAGGAACGAGGCCCGCGAGGCGCGAGGCGCGAATAACTTCGCGCCCTCGTGGGCGCCCTTGGATAAGATCGCAAGAGATCTGGGCACTCGGGCCAAGACTCTCGCCTTCCCGCGGCCGCTCGGGAGGATCCCGGCAGCCCAGCGGTTAGGTCGGGCATGTCCTCCTACAGGCGGATGTGGGAAGAGAAATCACGAGTAGAGCCCAAACATATTCAAGAGCAGTCGAGCGTAACCGAACATCGTCCCTGGACTGGTCCTTGACAGTCTGATCCATTCCTCTTGTGGAGAGATGTAACCGACTTGAGCCTGGCGCCTCGGGAAGCGCTCTCGGCGAGGCGCCGCTGCCGCTGCTGGAGGCATCCCGAGACGAGAAGACCACGGGGAACCCGCGAGAACCCCCGAGGAAGCGGGCGGCGAAGCGTCCGACATCAGACATCCGATGTCTCGATGTCTTCATTACGTTGTGAGAGGGGGGGATCCACCACCACCATAAGTTGGAGGGGAAGGGGGTTCTCCCCCTCCTCCTCCTCCTCCTCCTCCTCCTCCTCCTCCTCCTCCTCCTCCTCCTCCTCCTCCTCCTCCTCCTCTTCGTCCTTCTCCTCCTCCTCTTCGTCCTCCTCCTCCTCGTCCTCCTCCTTCCCCCTCCAACTGATGGTGGTGGTGGTGGATAACAGGGGTTACAAGTGCGTTGTCTGTAAACCTCCTGGGGACTCCCAAAGCCTGGCGAGCCGCCAGGACGCCGCACAGCACGCAGGGTTTCCCCTGTCGGCCCACAGGAGGCTCAGCGCACAGCGCCTCGTGAACCAGCCAGGGTCGGGGCGTCATTCGCGCCCTTGGTTACGGAGCCCCTGGAAGGCCCGACCCTTTCCCCAAGGCCAGTTCTTCATCCCCAGCCGGTTCTTGACGGTCCTGGGCCCTGGCGAGGGCCCCGGACGCCGAAGACGGCCCCAAAAAACCTTCCGTCCTGACTGCTGCACGGCGCGAGCCTCGGAAGTCGGCGGCGAGGCGGAGACCCGGGTTCTCTGCCCCGTGGGCCGCCGAAGCTCGCCGCGCACCTCGCCCTACTTCCCGGCGCCGCGGCAGCGGCCCACTGCCACAGCGCGGGCGCCGGCGCCATCTCGGCGCCCTCTCCGCAGGGGGGCCAGCGGCCAGCGTCCAACAACGCGAGGTCGGGCACGGCCGCCGGCGGGCGCGCCCGACCCCAGGCGCCTCACCTCGGCGGTGGACAAACCTCCCTTTAGCAAACCGCCCTTTAATGAAAACGGCCTAGGACCGACACCGACGGACCTGGACCCGCAAAAACGACGGCCGCGACGCCCTCGCGCGAACCGAAAACGGTCAGTTCGCTAGTCGACGTGTCAGGGTAGGAGGTCTATCAGCCTCCGATCGCCCGAGGCCAGTGCCCGGCGCCATCGGACTCTCCGGCCAGAAGAACAAGCAACGGAACAGACCTAATAGACCAGAAAGCAAACGACACCACCCCACCTGGGGCCCACGGGGCCTTGTAGCAGATGCCATGAGCTCCAGCTTGGGCTTTTGCGTGGTAGGTGCTGCGGCGACCGCTGGCCGCAGCACAGCATGGCGGGCCGTGCGTGGGGTGGTGTCGTCTGATGTTTGGGTCGTGCATGAGGCTCTCTCGCAGCCGTCCGTCGACTGCCCCCTCTGCGAAGCAACTCTATACCTAAGTCGGGCAAGTCCCCCTACAGCAGGAACATTCGGACTCGAACACCGTCAACACATTATCATAGGTGGGCGATTGTTGGACGATGTCTGGCTGAATCTACATATCTCGTGACAGCTTTTCGCTGCTCTTCCAAAACCCGCCTGTAGGGGGACATGCCCGACCTAACTCCCCACATTAGAGGGCAAAAAAAGACACCCCCATGATAACCGTCCCGACCAGCGAGGCCGTTCAGTAAACGCGCCCATAGAAGGAATTGAACAGGACCGGGCTGAGTAGTAAACGCCCCAACCGGAGTTTTCGGCTCTGAGGGCGCCCCCCCCCGACTCCTCCTCCCCTCCTCCTCCTCCTCCTGCTGCTCCTACTCTTCCTGCTCCTCCTCCCCTCCTGCTCCTGCTCCTCCTCCTCCTCCTCCTCCTCCTCCTCCTCCTCCTCCTCCTCCTCCTCCTCCTCCCCCTCCTCCCTCCTCCTCTCCCTCCCCCTCCTGCTCCTCCTCCTGCTCCTCTCCTCCTCCCCTCCAGCTACCTCCTCCTCCTCCCTCCTCCTCCTCCTCCTCCTCCTCCCTCAACTCCTCCTCCTCCTCCTCCTCCTCCTTCCTCCTCCTCCCCTCCTGCTCCTGCTCCTCCTCCTCCTCCTCCTCCTCCTCCTCCTCCTGCTCCTCCTCGTCCTGCTCCTCCTCCTCCTCCTCCTGCGCCTGCTTCTCCTCCTGACTGTTTTGTGGCGTGCGCCGCGGAGAACTAGTTACACTTTCCACCAAGTGGTGGGATCCCAGTCCGTCGATAAGGGCGTCGAAAAGATAACTGGTTTCCACTGCTGGGGATGGGGATTCGAAAGACCCATAAAAGGTTAGAGGAAGCAAACAGAGGTCCGCGCAGATGTCTTGGGTCTTGTTGGCACCTCTGGCAAGCGAGGATCGTTCAACCGATCCTAACTCCCCACTGGCATGGCCCTAGCCCGACCGGGCGATCCCCACCGCCCTGGGTGGGGAGATGTGCTGCTTCCTCTGGGCCTCGCGGGGACCGTCCCCACCTGGTGGGGTGCGCTGGTGAGGCTGAGGCACCATGGCCCTATGGTTAGGTCGGGCATGTCCTCCTGCAGGCGGATTTTGGAGGACAAACGACAAATACTCAAACAGTAGATTCGAACATAGGCAACAATAGTCGAAACATCGTCCCCAAACTAGGTTCCGACCATTCTGTAACACTCCTCCTGTAGAGGGACATGCCCGACTTAACCCTGTGGGGATGGGGATCGGCCAGGCAATGCTGAGAAACATGTAGTACGTCAACGCCGTGTATATTCTTCTGGCTTGGCGCTCGCGCTCCCCCGGGACCCGGCGAGGCCTGGGCACACGGGCGGCTGCGGAACAAAAACGCCCTGGCGAGCCGCGCGCGCGCCCCGCCCCGCTCCTCCCCTCCTCCGTGCACTTCATTCCTCCTCCTGCCCTTCCCCTCCTCCATGATTGCCCTCCTTCTGCTCCTCCTTCCGTCTCTCCTCCCGCTCTGCTCCACGTCCTGTTCCTCTGTCCATCTCGCCCTCCCAGACCCCCGACGTCATGATTTTTTCATGACGCGACCCCCAGAGGTCTGGACCCATTCCCCGGGACCGGTTTTTCATCCCGAGTCGTTTTTTGACGCTCCCGAGGCCCGGTAAGGGCCCCCGGAGGCCGAAAATGAAGGAAAACCTTCCGGCATGATTTTTTCATGACTCGAGGGGGTCTGGGCTCCTCCCTCCTCCCCTCCCCGTCCTCCTCAAACACCCGCTCCTCCCCGGCCTCCCGCCGCAGGCAGCTGTTGCTCGGGGGCCGGAGGTCCGTGATCCCACGCCGCACGAGAGCGAGCGTCGGCCCCCCGCCTCGGCCCGGGGATCCCCCCCTTTGGGGAACTCTGGGGCTACAGGTCGGGCATGTCCTCCTCCCTCCTCCTCCCCCTCCTCCTCCTCCTCCTCCTCCTCCTCCTCCTCCTCCTCCTCCTCCTCCTCCTCGTCGGGCGGAGATTAGAAGGGAGATGGCACCTGGCCAGGAAATGTTCAAACATGATGCAGAAGGATCGAGGAATCGTGCCCGGACAAGTTTTCGACTGTTCTTGGATTTTCCCCCTGCAGAGGGACATGCCCGACTTCACTCTGGGGAAGGATCGCGCAGCAGGTCGGCCGACGTGGGCCCTACTCCGAGTGTCTTAATAAGCGTCGGGGGGGCGTCACCCCCGCCGACAGCCCCACATGGACCCCCGTCGCGGGCAGCTACCGCGCGCCAGAGGCGCTCCGACCCCCATCGCGGCGCGACGACGAGGCGAGCCTGACCCCCGTCGGGGGGATACCCCCCTTCGTGGGCCCTAGAAACGACAGGGCCGTTTTTTTACCAGTTCCGTTTTGCCGTTTTTGTTGCCGGTTCCGACGCCGTTTCTTTACCCGTTCCGTCGCCGTTTTGCGACAGGCTCCGGCTCCGGTTCCAATCCTGGAGCCGTTCTTCTGCCATTGCCGGTCGCCGTTTTTTTTTACCGTTCCCATTTTTGTAAAGGGACCTTTTTTGGGGAAACGGTGAAAAAACGGCCCTGTCGTTTCCGGGGCCCACAAATAGAGGAAAGAGAACTATGCACATGCACCGATTCTGGCCAGGCCCATCCTGAGCCCAGGATCGGTGCATACGCCCTCCTACCTTGGCCAGGAAGGCATATGCACCGATCCTGGGTCAAGGATGGGCCTTGCCAGGATCAGTGCATGTGCATAGTTCTCTTCGCCCGAACAAAACCCCCCCCACGCCTATGGAGAGACTCAGGATATGAAGCGTGCCGCACGCGCGACGAGGCTCCATCCTGGCGGCGGCCCCCGCGCTGCGAGGCCGCCATTCCTTCGCGCGGAGCTCTCGACGCGCCGTGGGCCGTGCTCCGCGGGGGCCCCCACGAAGGGGGCCTCCCCGAGGGCGCCCCACGGGGCACGAGGCCTCGAGATCCAGCCGAGGCGGCGAGATGCACCAGCCTCGAACTTATCCCTGTCCCTGAGATGGGCGAGCAAAAAGCGAGGACAGTCCTAGGGATAGGCCCTCAGAAACTGGGGGAATTCTGAAGATCGGCATCGAGGTGAGGTGATGTCAAACATAGGGATAGGGATATGCTTCGAACTGGTAAGGGATGTCCTCCCAGGAGGCCCTTCAAGGAGAGGGAGAACCGGCGGGGGGGACGCCCGCGGCTGTCCCTCGTCCCGAGCCGATCCGAAACATTCGCGCGGAGCTCCGAAAGCTCATGCTCATGTCGTCATTCCTGCTTCGAGCCATGGCTGGTGCGACAGACCAACACGCAATGAGCTCTAACCCCGACCGCTCGGCTTAACTTGTCGATCCTCGATCTGGGGGAACGGGGGGGGGGACTTGCTCTGGGGGGGTCACGTCAAGCTGGAGTCGGCGATACATCGCGAACATGCTCCCGACATCGAACCCGAACGTTCCTGGGCGGAGTGGGCAATCAGGCCCAGATTGGCGATGAATGGGGGAGGGATTGATGTCGATCCCCCCCAGGAGCCAACATCCCCCCCCCTCCTCCTCCCCCCCCTCCTCCTCCCTCCTCCTCCTCCTCCTCCTCCTCCCTCCTCCTCCTCCTCCTCCTCCTCCTCTGACGTTGCCCCTTTGGTTTTCGGGTCACAACTCGGCTCGGGCGGCCATTCGGGACACGATCCTGGCCCCCAGGACGCTCTTGGCTTGCGAGGTGCAACTGCTGGAGAACATCCCGCGGCAGCAAAACCGCCGAGAACACCTCCACCTCCTCCTCCTCCTCCTTCGCCTCCTCCTCAAGCCCATCCCTGGCTTACGTTGCCCCTGAACATGTCTTGAACTCCAGCCCGCGAGCTCGGCTCACCCTGTTTGCGCTCCCCCTCCCGACCCCTCCCCAAAAATGGGGGCCCGAGCAGATGGTGTCAGAGGATCTCGCCGCATCGTGGATGTATCGCCAAGAGCGCGTTTCTTATGTTCGGCGATGACGGGCGTCATGGGTGGGGGGGGGGGGGGCGAAGGGGGGGTATGACGTAACGCCCCCCCGCCGTGTGGCTCCGGCACCGCAGCCGCGACCGCGCGCGCAACGCGACGAGCGACGAGCGACGACGACGACGACGACGACGACCACGACGACGGCGATCACGACGACGACGACAACGACGACGACGACGTCGACGACGCGAGCAGCATGTAGGTGGCGATATGCCCCACTGCGCCTGTGTACACCACAGCGCTCGCGTGCACCACAGCGCGCGTGTATACCACAACGCCTTTGAACACCGCAACAACCGTGTGCAACGCAGCGCCTGTGTACACCACAATGCTTGCGTACACTACAGCGCCGGCGTACGATTGCACACCGCAGCTACCATGTGCAACACAGCGCCTGTGTACACCACAATGCTTGAGTGCACCGCAGCGCCTGTGCACGCCACAGCGCGTGTCTACACCACAGCATCCGCGTGCAACGCAGCGCTGGTGTACACCACAACGCCTGCGTGCATAGGACAGGTAAAAGGGGCATGTACGTGAGGATCTGCTGCGGACAACTAGACGCCACGCCAGGAAATTGCTCATCATCGAATGCGACGTTCTTCCCTCCTCCCTCCTCCTTCTCCTCCACCTCCACCTACTCCTCCTCCTCCTCTTCCTCCTCCTCCTCCTTCTTACCCCCTGTCGTGCGGGTTGACGCTACATCGCACGTGCGCATCTCAGCGCGCACCGCAGAAAGGGTTTATTAATTCGGTCCACTTGGTTCTCGGACGGCCAGTTTAGCTGGAACCTCCTGGACGCAAAGGGAGGAGTTAGGGTGATGCGGGCGGACACGGGAGGACACGTAGATTCCAGCGGCGCGCCGTTGTCCATAACGAGATTAGTTTGTATTGTTTTCTGTGGAATACACAAGTGCTCCATTTTGTCATAAGGATTCGTTCTCACATTCTATATATATATACAACAATGGTGCTGTGTTGCACACTGTTGCTGTGGTGCACACAGGCGCCGTGGTGTACACGGGCATTGCAATGCACGCAGGCATTGTGGTGTATACTGGTGCTGTTTTGCACACGGCTGATGTGGTGAACGCAAGCGCCGTGGTGTGCACAAGAGCTGTTGTGCCCGCGGGCACGGTGGCACAAACTGACGCTGTGTTGCACGCGGCTGCTGTGGTGTACATAGGCGGTGGTGTACACAGGCGCTGTGGTGCACGCAGGCACTGTGGTGTCCACAGGCATTGTGGTGCAAATCGCCACCTACATTCTGGCGCTACCCGTCCTCCGTCATTCCTAAGCATTCCCACGCGCCGCCGGCGCGAAACGTGACGTCATCGACCCCCTCCATCCCCCCCTAGACGATTGCCGTCATCGGCCCGGATTTAAAAAACAAAATACAGGCTTCAGCCGCGTCCGCGCGCATGACGACTATGAGAGACGAGCGACAAGCCACAAGCAAATACGACGACGACGACGACGACAACGACGACTGCGGACCAGACTCATATGCGGATCCCTACGCGGATCCCAGTGCGCAGTGCCCGGAGCGCTGTGGGGGGCAGTGCCCGGAGCGCACTGAGGGGGGGGCGTTACGTCATGGGGGGGGGGGGGGCACGGGGCCATGACGCCCGTCATGCCCCAAGCAATAAAGAACAGGCCTCCAACTGGGAAGCCTGGGCCATTGCAGCGCGCGGACACGGGGACTTCAGTGGCAACTCGTGGGAGCCTCCCATACCGTTCAGTCGGCTCATGCGAATCGACGCGATTCGATGCTAGTCGACGCTGCTCGACGCGAAATCAGCGCGAGTCGACGCAACATCGGCGCTACCTCTGATCGACTCCCAGACTCTCATCGACGCAAAAGAACGAAACTAAGAAGGCACACCAACCAGGCTCTCAAGATTACACGCCTGTCGGAAGAAGTAGGTAAAAACATGAAGTAGAAAGGCAGATTAAGCGGATTGGGTCCAGCCCCCCCCCCCAGGGAACAACAAAACACAGCAAAAGCGTGCCGATTCTTGAAGTAGGAAGGCGCTTGAAGTAAAATAGGATCTGGGAATCCCAAAATACCTACTTCCAACGACCGGCCTGTATTCGATGCCGAAGCTAGAGGCCTCTTTGATGGGGTCGAAGTAGATGGGGTCGGAGGATCGCGCCGCATCGCCGATACATCGGCGATGCATCAGCGATGCATCCGCGATGCATCGGCGATGCATCGGCGATGCATCGGCGATGCACGGGCGATGCACCGGCGATGCATGATCGGCGTCGGCGATACATCCGAGATGTCGGCGTGGAGAAAATCGGGCCCCATATCGAACCGCATCGCCGATGCATCGCCGATGCGGCGCGATCCTCCGACCCCATCTGCTCCGACCCCATCTGG